TCCTCCTCCTCCGGAATGCCAGGAATCTGTTTAACAGTTTTAACGCGGGCGTGTTGCCGAGCCACTTGCGCCAGCGTGCTCCGGCAGAGCGTTTCCGGAGCACGCTGGATGATTTCGAAGACGGCTCTCTCGGCACCAGGGTCTTGGCGTTGGTTTCGACTTCCCCCTTGGTGATGCGATGCCGAGCTGCGAGCTGTGCCGCGTGGACGGCCACACTGCGTAATCCTTACAGCGTGAATCCTCCTCCCCCTGGAACTCGCACTTGTTCCGATGCCTCGAGCCGGGGCCGCGGAGTCCGGGGAGGCCCGCAGGTCCGACGATGTGATCGTGTAGGCCCTAGTCCACCCTCCTCTGTCGCCTCCACCTCGCCCACCTCGGCCCCCAAGTAACTGCGTCTCCCGGGAGACTGAGCGGCTTAGTGGGGAGCCTCCTTCTCCTCCTCCTCCTCCCCCTCCTCCTCCTCCTCCTCCTCCTCCTCCTCCTCCTCCTCCTCCTTCTCACCGCCCTCCACTTTCGCCTTTCGGAGCTGCGGCCTGGGGGCAGGCGGCGAGGGCGGAGGCTGGGCCCCGAGTGACGCGGGAGGAAGAGGGGGAGGAGGAGGAGGAGGGGGAGGAGGAGGAGGAGGAGGAGGACGGGCCCGAACGACTCACACCGGAGGAGCGGCCGGAAGACTCATCCGAACGGCTCACGGCCTTAAGACGAGAACTGAAGGAGGGGCGAGGGGAGGAGGGGGAGGAGGAGGAGGAGGAGGAGCAGGTGAGGAGAGGAGGAAAACGGAAGGAGGGGGGCGAGGGGGAGGAGGGGGAGGAGGAGGAGGAGGAGGAGCAGGTGGAGGAGGAGGAGGAGGGGGAGGGGCGGGAGGGGAGGAGGAGGGGCCCGAACGACTCACACCAGGAGGAGGGGCCCGAACGACTCACTCCGAACGACTCACGGCCTAAGACGAAAACGGAAGGAGGGGGGGAGGAGGGGGGGGGAGGAGGGGGAGGAGGAGGAGGAGGAGGAGCAGGTGGAGGAGCAGGTGGAGGAGCAGGGGGACATGTGTTTGCGCGGGGCAAGGAGGCGCATCGCCTCTCCGAGCGCCTGCGGCGGCCGCCGCGAGGCGATCATGGGGCAATCCACGGGTGCCCCCAACGTCTGAACCAAGTGACGTACACCAAGTCCTGGTGGGGCAATTCAACGGATGCCCCCAACGTCTGAACCAGGTGCGGATGACCAAGTCTTTGCGGGGTAATTCAACGGATGCCCCCAACGTCTGAACCAAGTGCGGATGACCCAGTCCCTGTGGGGCAATTCAACGGATGCCCCCAACGTCTGGCCCAAGTGACGAAGACCCAGTCCCTGTGGGGCAATTCAACGGATGCCCCCAACGTCTGAACCAAGTGCGGAAGACCCAGTCCCTGTGGGGCAATTCAACGGATGCCCCCAACGTCTGGCCCAAGTGACGAAGACCCAGTCCCTGTGGGGCAATTCAACGGATGCCCCCAACGTCTGAACCAGGTGCTGATGACCAAGTCCCTGCGGGGGTAATCAACGGATGCCCCCAACGTCTGAAACAAGTGCTGATTGACCCAGTCCCTGTGGGGCAATTCAACGGATGCCCCCAACGTCTGAACCAGGTGCGGATGACCCAGTCCTTGTGGGGCAATTCAACGGATGCCCCCAACGTCTGAACCAAGCGCGGATGACCCAGTCCCTGTGGGGCAATTCAACGGATGCCCCCAACGTCTGGCCCAAGTGACGAAGACCCAGTCCCTGTGGGGCAATTCAACGGATGCCCCCAACGTCTGAACCAGGTGCTGACGACCAAGTCCATGTGGGGCAAGTCAACGGACGCCCCCAACGTCTGGCCCAAGTGACGAAGACCCAGTCCCTATGAGGCAATTCAACGGATGCCCTGGTGACTGCCGATGGCTGATGGCCCAGTCCACGCGGGGCCGCATCAATCAATGCCCAGCGTTTGCCTACGCAGTTGCAGCTTTTGCCTTAGCCGCAGCTTTTGCCGTGGCCACAACAGCTTTTGCCGCGATGAAGCGAGCAGTTTCATCTAGATCCTCCTCCAGCGGTAAAGGATATATCTCCTTTGGCATGATGGCCATGTGTTGGGCGCGCGCGTCGTCCTGGTCGTCGTCTATGGCGCAGCCCAGAATCAACCATTGCTTCAGCCTGCGTCGGATCTCAGAGTCGCTCATCGGGTCCTTGGCGCCGTAGTCTACGCGGCGCTTGCACACCATATCCTCCCCCACGTTGTGGTGTTTGCCGCAAGTCACGCCCCATCCGACTTGGACTCCGCCGGGCCTCACAGGAGCGATGCTCCAGATGCCCCACGGCTCGCTGGCAGCAGCCCGAGCGTCGCCGCCTCTCCGCTTCTTCTGAGGGGGCTGGCCTGCCGCCTCTGGGGGAAGAGGCGGCGGCGGCGGCGGCGGCGCGCCCGGCTGCGCCTCCGGCGGAGGCGGTGGCGGCGGCCCCCCAGCGGGCCCGCCGCCGCTGCCGCTCGCGCCCCCGCTGCTGCCCGCGCCACCTTCGCCGACGGCCGCGCCGTCGCCGCTGCCGAGGGAGCCGTCGCCGCCAGCGCTGCCAGCAGCAACTCCGGCTCCTCCAGCAGAAAGCGCCCCTGCATCGGCCCCGTCGACGTCGCTGAAGTTCTCGTCTGTCTTCTCCGAGCCCTCGCTGTCGCCTGCAAGCCCGACCCCGGGCAGCTTGTGCACGAGCGGCCCCTCTGTCGCGCGGTCAGCGTCCCCGGGCAGCAACGGCTTCTTAATCAGCTCCAGGAAGCCAGCGCGCAACTTGTCCTCGAGGGTCGCATGCCCAATCCCCGTGGGCTCGGCCGGCTTGGCGTGGGCCACTGGTGCGGGCCCGGGCCAGAAGTCCCAGGTCTTCTCAACTGCGTTGTTCGGCCATCTGGCACATCCCAAGGCCGCGTCGCGGCGGGCGCGGAAATCTGGCACCCGCAGCAACTGCAGCTGCAAGGACAACGGCAACGGCCCGCCAGGCGGCCCACATTTGAAGAACTCTCGCATGAGGCCGCAACTGGCAACGAAGTTCAGCTTGCTGCACCGTGTCTGTAGAACCAGGGTGTGATCTAAATCATCTCCACGCACATCCAGCATGGCCCACACCGCCACGGGGGGGGAACCACTCCGGCGCAGCGCCAGCACTGCGAAAATATCACCTTACGCCGCCCGGAGACAGACGATAGCCGATCCAGAGACAAATTCGCTAATCGCTGACAATCGCAATCGATCGGTCGAGTAGTCGGACGGGTCGATACCGCGATTCGTCGACCACCGACCGACCGACGAGCAACGATCGACGATCGGCGATCGGTTGACGATCGGCGATCGGCGACTTCGACTACCGACATGACGCCGCAGCAGGAGGCATCCCAAAAGAGCCCCAAGAAGGCACCAAGACACCCCCAAAGAGCCCTAAGAGCGCCCCAAGAACCCCAGGATAGCCCCAAGAAGGCTCCAAGACGGCCTTGAGAGGACCTCAAGAGAACCCCCAGAAAGAGCTCCAGGAGGGCACCAAGTCATCCTCCTCCTCCTCCTCCTCCTCCTCCCCCCCCTACTCTCCCCCCTCCTCCTCCTCGCCCCGAGTGGGCCCCGAGAGAACCCCGAGAGAGCCCCAAAATGGCTCCAAGTGTCGAAACCCCCGCGAGCTTAAGATATAAATCAACGCAACAGCCCTTGCGAGTCATCGAAACACCCCATCACCCCTCATCGAAACACCATCGTAGCTTGCACCGATGTCCATCTTAAACTTCGGGCAGCTACGCGTGATCGCGACCCTTGTCTCCCCGAAGACGGCTGCGCGACTCCGTGCGTCCTGCCGCCCATGATTCACCAACGCCCCTGCTGATCGTTTCTGGATGGGTTGCTGGGGATATTTTTTTCGGTCGCGGCCGCGCGACAACGGTCCGGCGGCGAGAAGCAAAGTCCAGGGCATGCGGCACGATGCGAATTTGCGAACACCGCCGCCACGTTGGCAAGCCAGTTCGCACCTGCACAGCAAGTGCGCAGTTGCACACGCACAGAACAAAATGAACTAAATTCACAAGCGAACGCACATATGTCACATAGGCGCCGCAGTGTGAACCGAAGTGGGCAAGCGGCAATGTGCGCGAATGCAAACGGCTGGGGATACGCGAAGCGTCACGAAGGCTAAGCCCGCGACGCGCTGCGCCGTCGGGCCACCGGCATCGGACCCTGCAGAACCCGCCCAAAACAACAGCGGCGTCGCCGTCATTCTTGACAATGTCCGTGAGGCGGGAAGCGGCCTGGATCATCGGCGCCCAGAAGGCCGCGTCGCTAGTGATGCAGCACCCGGGCCAAACGAGGGGGCAACATGAAGCGTACTCGAGCTTCTGGCCGCGAGGGATTGCTCCTCCCGCGGAGAAGAAGAGGCGAAGAAGAAGAAGGATCGGGGATGGACGGACCTCCCCTGAGTAAAACGTGGTTTAGGGAAAACGACCTCGGGCCCAAACCTGGCGGGCGCAAGCCTGGAAAATAACGGCCGCGGCGCCCTTTCGAGAACCGAGAACGGACAATCCACTAATCGACGCGTCACTGTTGGGGGTTCTGTCCACCCCCGAGAGGACGAGGAGGAGGAGGTGGGGGAGGAGGAGGAGCAGGGCCACAGGACCTCACCCTGAATCCCACCAGCCCCCTGGGCGGAGGTGGTCCAGAGCGTTTCCGTTTCCAACCTCCCTGATATACCTCCCCCTTCTCCTTGGGTTTGGACGGCGCGGCCCCGAGAGGTCCGAGGGTCCTTTTTTCCCGGAAAGGGCCTGGGCCCAGGGTTCTCTTTTAGTTGGTAAACCTGTCCCCCGGTGCCAACTTGAGGGAGGCCGGCGAATTTTTTCCCTGATAAATAACGAGGTCGAAGGAGGCCGGCGAATTAAAATTTGAGGATGTCTCGAGCGAAACGCTTGTTTTTGAAATCCCGATCGATAAATCACAGGGTGCGGGCCACTTTTTCGTGTGTTGAGGATGTCTCGAGCGAAACGCTTGCTCCGCAGAGTTTGCCGAGGATGTCTCGAGCGAAACGCTTGTTTTGCAGAGCCGACCGCGACGCGGAAAAGCGCCCCGCGCGAAGGAATTTCGATGATGTCTCGACTAATTCCTTTGTTTTTGTACGATTTCCTGGAATTTTGGCAGGATGTCTCGAGCGAAATGCACGACCCCACCCTAGCACGACCATACCCCAGCACGACCACACCCCAGCACGACCAGACCCCAGCACGACCACACCCCAGCACGACCCCACCCCAGCACGACCATACCCCAGCACGACCACACCCCAGCACGACCCGACCCCAGCACGACCCACCCCAGCAAGACCACACCCCAGCACGACCACACCCCAGCACGACCTCACCACAGCACGACCACGCCCCAGCACGACCACGCCCCAGCACGACCACGCCCCAGCACGACCACGCCCCAGCACGACCACCCCCAGCACGACCACCCCCCCAGCACGACCACCCCCCAGCACGACCACCCCCCAGCACGACACACCCCAGCACGACCACACCCCAGCACGACCACACCCCAGCACGACCACACCCCAGCACGACCACACCCCAGCACGACCACACCCCAGCACGACCACACCCCAGCACGACCCGATCGATAAATCACAGGGTGCGGAGCACCCCAGCACGCACCCCACCGACCCACCCCAGCACGACCCCACCCCAGCACGACCACGCCCCAGCATGACCACACCCAGACGACACACCCCAGCACGACCACACCCCAGCATGACCACACCCCAGCACGACCCTACCCCAGCAAGACCACACCCCAGCACGACCACACCCCAGCACGACCTCACCACAGCACGACCACGCCCCAGCACGACCACGCCCCAGCACGACCACGCCCCAGCACGACCACGCCCCAGCACGACCACGCAGCACGACCACCCCCCACGACCACGCACGACCACCCCCCAGCACGACCACACCCCAGCACGACCACACCCCAGCACGACCACCCCCAGCACGACCAGCACGACCCCACCCCAGCACGACCCCACCCCAGCACGACCACGCCCCAGCATGACCACACCCCAGCACGACCACACCCCAGCACGACCACTCCCCAGCACGACCCCACCCCAGCACGACCCCACCCTAGCACGACCACACCCCAGCACGACCACACCCCAGCACGACCCCACCCCAGCACGATCACACCCCAGCACGACCCCACCCCAGCAAGACCACACCCCAGCACGACCGCACCCCAGCACGACCTTACCACAGCACGACCACACCCCAGCACGACCACGCCCCAGCACGACCACGCCCCAGCACGACCACGCCCCAGCACGACCACGCCCCAGCACGACCACGCCCCAGCACGACCACCCCCCAGCACGACCACCCCCCAGCACGACCACCCCCCAGCACGACCACACCCCAGCACGACCACTCCCCAGCACGACCACACCGCCTTGGTTGAGTGGTTGCCTGTCGTCGTGGAATGTTTCGTGGGGTGTCTCGTGGAATGTTTCGCGGGGTGTCTCGTGAATGTTTCGTGAGGTGTCTCGTGGAATGTTTCGTGAGGTGTCTCGTGGGATGTTTCGTGAGGTGTCTCGTGGGATGTTTCGTGAGGTGTTGCCCAGTTGGGTATCATGAAAACGTGTCCATGCTCACATGTCTATATCCCTTTCCGGGTTCGTGGGTCATCATGTTCCCGGAAAGGGCATGGGCCCAGGGTTCTCTTTTAGTAGGTAAACCTGTCCCCCGGTGCCAACTTGAGGGAGGCCGGCGAATTTTTTCCCTGATAAATAACGAGGTCGAAGGAGGCCGGCGAATTAAAATTTGAGGATGTCTCGAGCGAAACGCTTGTTTTTGAAATCCCGATCGATAAATCACAGGGTGCGGGCCACTTTTTCGTGTGTTGAGGATGTCTCGAGCGAAACGCTTGCTCCGCAGAGTTTGCCGAGGATGTCTCGAGCGAAACGCTTGTTTTGCAGAGCCGACCGCGACGCGGAAAAGCGCCCCGCGCGAAGGAATTTCGATGATGTCTCGACTAATTCCTTTGTTTTTGTACGATTTCCTGGAATTTTGGCAGGATGTCTCGAGCGAAATGCACGACCCCACCCTAGCACGACCATACCCCAGCACGACCACACCCCAGCACGACCAGACCCCAGCACGACCCCACCCCAGCACGACCCCACCCCAGCACGACCATACCCCAGCACGACCACACCCCAGCACGACCCGACCCCAGCACGACCCTACCCCAGCAAGACCACACCCCAGCACGACCACACCCCAGCACGACCTCACCACAGCACGACCACACCCCAGCACGACCACGCCCCAGCACGACCACGCCCCAGCACGACCACGCCCCAGCACGACCCACCCCCCAGCACGACCACGCCCCAGCACGACCACCCCCCAGCACGACCACACCCCAGCACGACCACTCCCCAGCACGACCACACCCCAGCCGACGCACGACACACCCAGTCGCACCCCCGTGGAATGTTTCGTGGGTTGTGGTTGCCTGTTCGTGGGGTGTCTCGTGGAATGTTTCACGGGGTGTCTCGTGGAATGTTTCGTGAGGTGTCTCGTGGAATGTTTCGTGAGGTGTCTCGTGGGATGTTTCGCGGGGTGTCTCGTGGGATGTTTCGTGAGATGTCGCCCAGTTGGGTATCGTGAAAACGTGACCATGCTGCACATGTCTTTATCCCTTTCCGGGTTCGTGGGTCCATCATGTTGGCCCAAGATGGTTTCAACAGGGCCTCAGAAAACGCAAGATGGCGTCCAAGATGACCCAAGATAGCTCAAGATGGCTCAAGATAGCCTCAGACACACATCCCAAAGGCCTCAAAGCTGCCCCAAGACGGATCCAAGTGCCTTTCGAGCCTTCAACGGCACCCTCCAAGATGCCAAAATCCTTCAAAAGCCTAAAGGCAAAACAATGTTTCAGGCATTCTCGCCTTTTCGCTTCCGATGGGATTTGGCATCCTCAACATGACCCCAAGTTGCCCCAGGAGAGCCCCAAGAGGGCCCCGAGACGGCCCCAAGAACGGCCAAGAGCGCTCCAAAAACGGCCCAAGACGGCTCCAAGACAGCATTTGTGAGCCTCCGAGGGGGCGACGGGAATTGCCCCCCCCCTCTTTTTCCCGGAAAGGGCGCCGGCCCAGGGTTCTCTTTTAGTTGGTAAACCTGTCCCCCGGTGCCAACTTGAAGGAGGCCGGCGGATTTTTTCCCTGATAAATATCGAGGTCGAAGGAGGCCGGCGGATTAAAATTTGAGGATGTCTCAGGCGAAACGCTTGTTTTTGAAATCCCGATCGATAAATCACAGGGTGCGAGACACCTCAGCACGACCACACCCCCAGCATGACCACACCCCAGCACGACCACGCCCAGCACGACCACGCCCCAGCACGACCACACCCCAGCACGACCACACCCCAGCACGACCACACCCCAGCACGACCACACCCCAGCACGACCACACCCCGCAGCCACGACCAGCACACGACCACAGCACCAGACCCCACCCCAGCACGACCACAGCACGACAGCACGACCCCACCCCAGCACGACCCCACCCTAGCACGACCACACCCCAGCACGACCACACCCCAGCACGACCACACCCCAGCACGACCCCACCCAAGCACGACCCCACCCCAGCACGACCACACCCCAGCACGACCACACCCCAGCACCCCACGACCCCACCCCAGCAAGACCACACCCCAGCACGACCACACCCCAGCACGACCTCACCACAGCACGACCACACCCCAGCACGACCACGCCCAGCACGACCACGCCCCAGCACGACCACCCCCCAGCACGACCACACCCCAGCACGACCACCCCCCAGCACGACCACCCCCCCAGCCGACGACCACCCCCCAGCACGACCAGCACGACCACAGCACGACCACTCCCCAGCACGACCACACCGCCTTGGTTGAGTGGTTGCCTGTCGTCGTGGAATGTTTCGTGGGGTGTCTCGTGGAATGTTTCGCGGGGTGTCTCGTGGAATGTTTGAGGGTCTCGTGGAATGTTCGGTGTCTCGTGGGATGTTTCGTGAAGTGTCTCGTGGGATGTTTCGTGAGGTGTTGCCCAGTTGGGTATCGTGAAAACGTGTCCATGCTCCACATGTCTATATCCCTTTCCGGGTTCGTGGGTCCATCATGTTTAGCCATGGGGCCCAAGACGGCCCCGAGAGGCCTCCCAAGCCTCCCCGACGAGCCCCAAGAGGGCTCCAGGACTCCCCAAATGAGCCCCAAGAGGGCCCCACGAAGGCCCCAACAGGACCCCCAGAGGGCTTCAAGATGGCCCCAAGAGGGCAACGGTGGCGAGTCCACGCTCCAACGCTGCAGCCACATAAAAACACGCTTCGATCGAAAAACTCCTGATTGACCAACTCACCTGGTAATTGTTTCTGGATGGACGTTTACCACAGGGAACCTCACGGCGTATCTCGCGCTGATTCCCATGAGCTTCAGCGGGGGAAGCTATGTGTGATCCTTGTTTTCTGACCCGAGGTGCGGCCCCCCAGTTTTGAACACAAGAATGCCCGAACTACTTGTGATCCTTGTTTCCTGGCCCAGGGCGCTGCCCGCCCTGTTTTGACGCCTCCAAAACAGCTGCGCGACCGCGTGCTTCCAGGCGTCCCTGACTTGCCAACTCACCTGGCAATCGTTTCTGGATGGGCTGGTGGGGGTACTTTTTCCCGGAAAGGGCAAAGGCCGAAGGTTCTCTTTTAGTATGTAGACAATGTCCCCCCGTGCCCAACTTGAAGGAGGCCGGCGGATTCTTTCCCTGATAAATATCGAGGTCGAAGGAGGCCGTCGGATTAAAATTTGAGGATGTCTCAGGCGAAACGCTTGTTTTTGAAATCCCGATCGATAAATCACAGGGTGCGGGCAACTTTTTCGTGCGTTGAGGATGTCTCGAGCGAAACGCTTGCTCCGCAGAGTTTGCCGAGGATGTCTCGAGCGAAACGCTG